CTCAATGGTTCAAGTACCTTGAATGTGATCACAATCAATATTTATTTAAAATAAATTTGTTATTAACACACACACCCGATAATCTTCAGAATCTTTTATTATTTTTTTCTGCCATTTGTAGTCGCCTGCTCCAAAAAGACTACAGTTTCCTGGGAGACATCAATGTATGGCCGCCCATGGTGACAGTCGGTGTTTACTCCTCCACTATATCTGCTGCCATGAGTAATCTGATTGGAGCTTCCAGGATCCTTTATGCATTGTCCAAAGACAACCTGTTTGGTGAGACTCTTGCTCATGTGTCTAGCTGCACAATATTCGGAATGCCAGCTGTCTAATGGTTGTTTTTCTAATCTTTATTTAAGAGCAGTCTTTAAGATTGAAAGCAGGACTTGCAGATTTCACATTCAGATTTTGAAATGCTTCACACAAAACCCTACGCTCAAACTCAAATGGCCCCTACTTGTGCTTAGGTTTGCTCTCCTTGTGCTCAAGCTTTGTGTTCCAGCTTCGGCTCTTGTCCTCGCGCTGTTTCTGCGCATGCAGGAAAAACCTTTGCGCTTGGATTTGTTTGGAAGTCAAAATTCCTCAAACAGTAGAATGCCAGGTGTAGTTTTGACAAGTGAAATTATTCCGCCCCTTTCTGTAGTGAGAGGCATTACATTTTAATCTTGCTTGTTCAGGTTATGATCAGGACTAAATGGTTGATCCAGTGTACATGACAGCGAATCCAACTCCAGCTGGTCTTCTACGAAGCTGAGTCACTCTTTTTAATCATCAGCCATCTGTTGAAGAGGCTTCCATCTAAAATGTGACAAACTGACCCTTGTTATTAATTTCATCATGTCTCATTTTTCTACTGTATGTTAGCTTAGAAAGTATCGTTTGACAGCAGATGGCTGGCAGTGTTGATTTTCTCAGAAGAAAAATTCCCTCATTGTGGGTTTTGCTTAAGACAGGATGACTCAGCCGTTTATTTGATGATGAGCAATAACAGACCGGGTGACTTTTGTGTTTTTGTTAATGTTGTATATCTGTACAGGTGGTGTTCTGGCTCTGGCGAGGAAAACATCTCGGAGTGGGAACCCCTGGGCCTCGGTGCTTGTCTCCTGGTTGCTGGTACAGGTGAGATTATAACACTGATGTCACTTCCCTTGCCCTCATCTGGAACCACTTCCTGTTTTATGTAGCTCTTATCATATGTTTGATTGATGACCCAGTTGTAAAAGTTTGGCTTGTGAAATTAATTAGTCACCATTTAAATATAATGTAATAATTAATTTGTACCATTATGCATTAAGAAATATTAGTGATGCCAGGTCAGAATTATTTCATTCAGGGTTTTATACAAGCTCTTAAAAATTCTAATATTATATATTCAGAGCTTTAAGCTTTAGAAAGTGGACCATCTAAGTAGATACCAGATTTTGGTCCTCTGATCTACTTTGTATTGGCTGAACATTTGTAAGTGAAGAGCTGCAGCTATCAATCATTTTAGTAATCGTGTATTTTATAAAACTGGTATTATATCAAATACAATCAGATCAAAAATATCCAGAGTAAATGTACGAAATAGGAAAAAAATACTAAAACAAACAACTAACTTTACAGTTATTCAAAACTATTGATGAGACATTTTTCACATTTCTGAAATAAAGCTGAATTCACAACAACAACATTTAGGTTGGCATTGTGGCATATCTGTCTATTTCTTTACTGGTGCTTTGAATCTAGTGTAAGGCAAATTCTGTTCTTTATTTCTGCCACTAGGTGGTGCTGTTTGCAGGTAAATTGAACACCATAGCTGGTATTGTAACCATCTTCTTCCTGTTGGTCTATGCTGCTGTGAACCTGGCCTGTTTGGCTCTTGAATGGGCTTCTGCACCAAACTTCAGGTAAAGTGTAGGATATTGTTGTGAACTAAGCTTCCGGTTCTGGATTTCATTTTCAAAAACATGATCAGAGGTTATTGTCTTACTCAGTCATTCTCTTTTCTTTTGATTTAGACCCTCATTCCGCTGTTTTACCTGGCACACCTGCACACTGGGCATCCTTGGCTGCTTGGTCATGATGTTTCTGATCAGTGCCATTTATGCCTTTGCCAGCATTGCCTTTATGCTGCTGCTCTTGATGCTGATCCACTACTTTGGCCCCATCAGCAACTGGGGATACATCAGCCAGGCTCTCATCTTCCACCAGGTCCAAAGTCACAAACCAACCATCTGTCCTGCATCAACAATATTAATTAGAGTTTCCATTATCTACTTCAACAGCACTTCTCTCTTTCTCATCTTTGATTGGCTCAGGTGCGTAAGTACCTGTTGATGTTGGATGTACGTAAAGACCACGTGAAGTTCTGGAGGCCCCAGGTCCTGCTGATGGTGGCGAACCCTCGCAGCTGTACGGGTCTCATTACTTTCATTAATGACTTGAAGAAGAGTGGCCTCTATGTATTGGGACATGTGAAGCTGGGTTTACTAGGTAAGAAGCAAATATACATCATTTGATTCCAAAATTTATATTTTTAGAATTGTAGTTCT